GGAGAATCTAGAGGCCCGGGTTTGAATTCCATTCTAGTTTGCAATCGTTTGCTGCATTTTCCTCCTCTCCCTTTACACCAGAAAGGGAAGTTTTCGCAGATTGAAATATCACACTTGTTTTGCTGGGCATATTTTTATTTTATTTGTCTGAAATGTCCAATCATATAGATCTATTGTAAAATAATTTATAATATCTTTTGTTAAATTTCTCCTCTTCAGGAATTCATGGAAGTCGTTATGTGACTACTCATGGGATATCTTTGAACTGTAACACAGACTTAGACTGGTATAAACATATTGTTCCCTGTGGAATTGAAGACAAAGGTGTCACATCCATCACTGAAGAACTTGGATCAGAGGTCAAAGTTCAAGATGTTTTATGGCCATTTTTGGAGAGCTTTAAGAGACAGTTTAATTGTGATCTCTCATTTGAATATCTCTCAAAACAAGATCTTTCACTCATAGAAGAAAGTGAAAAGAAATGTAAACAAATGATTTTAGAATCAGCAATAAGAATGAAGAACTGGGTATGATTAAAGTTTTAAAGCTTGAATTTAATAAATTATTTATCAACCATCAATACTTGTTGACATTTTTAATAGGCAGATCATCAGTCTATCTTAATAAATAGAAGCTTAGATTGCAGGTTCTTAATCTGAGGAAGAAACATCACCAAACTAAGTTCTTGTCCAATAATTTGGACAAAGAGCATAGTTATTTCCCTTGACACAATGAACATGGAGAGATTCTCATTGCTTTGAATGGTCATCACATTTGACGTGTTTTGTTAATCAATATATCACTCAAATTCACTAGCACCAAAGTTGTGATATAGAACTGCTGCTGTTCTTTTTATTGGGTCGACCACAAGATATGAAAATGTGTTTTCATGGTCCACTTTTGCAGGATAAAACATTTCTTCACCATCCTAAAAGGAGATTAAAGATAAATCTGAGGCATGTTTCACTAATGTATTCAGAGTAAATCTGGAAATTAAACACCATTCTAATATTTATATATTAATCACAGTAAAACCCGTTTAAAAATTCTAAAATTGTTTTTAAAAAATTACTTATTATCCTGAACAAAAGTAAATTCAGATACGGAATATGAATTTTAATTTTTATCATAACATCTCTAACTACTCACTTTTGCAGTAATCTTGAACACACAGGAGACAATACTGAGCTCTTTAGTATCTGGATTCTTTTGAACACTTTGAATAGAAAATTTAATATAAATTATTATTGTTTATGAACTTTTATGCACCTGCAGTAGAATATCAGCATGCTTTAAAAGTGAAGTTTGAATTTAAATGTGAATTAGGAAATTAACAAGATATAATTTATAATTAGGACAATCTGATTAAAACCAGATCTTTGTTATGCTAATCCCCATCTGTATTTGTCCTGTGTAGGTTGTCTGTCTTAAACTTTTGAACATTTTCAGTTTTTTCTCTTGAACCACACAGGCCTCTGAATTTCTAATCAATAAGCCGTTATATGATTGATCAGAGTAATATATATATACCTCCTCTATATATAAAAACCTTATATATAGAGGGGGTATATATATCACTCTGATCAATCATATAATGGCTTATTGATAGAAATTCAGAGGCCTGTGGAACCACTATGCCAATTTCCACAAATTTTGGCATCTATATGTAGCAACAATAGATGAAGCCCCAAATCTCTTTAATTTTATTGAACCAGCAACTCTGGGGCCTGGGGCAACACCAGCATATCATAGCATAACAAAGATCTGATTTTATCAGATGGGAGTAAAGAAATATTCAATACATAAAATATTGCACTCTTCTTAGTATAAACTAGCTTTTGCAATGAAACTTAAGGTAAAATAATCTTTCTAACTTTAAAAAAAAAGACCATATTTGTATTGAGACCAAGAGGGATTAAAGTAAATGCCATAACTTTAGATAAATACCAGTTAAACTAAAGGTCAAATAATACTACATATAAGGTCAAAGTTCAAACTTGTACACTGATAATTTTTTTTCTTTCATTCATTGGTGGACAAAAATCCCTTTATGTACCTTGATATTTACAAATTTACTCAATGGTGGTGGTGGTGGTGGGTGGGGGGATACCTGATTAAATCCTTGTAGATCTGTTTGGTGACATCTAAGTACGGTTGTATTTCATCTTCAAACTGATTAAATCTTCCACCAAGGCAGAGATGGAAAAATATTCGGAATAAAAATTCATCCCTCTCTGAATCACTGTACAGACAATAGTTATCAGAATCATCAATTAACAGCATCTAAAATAAAATGTGTATGTTATTTAACATTATAATAAAGAGCCAATCAAAAAGGCTAAAAACATAATTTGTATTAAAGTCAGTATTTAGTTCTACTGTATGTCATCATCTTGCTGTCATTCTATTAAGACATAAATTTAAAGATGAATACAGTGCACATATTTAAACTACCTACATTGCAATTGTACTTTATTTTTCTAGGAACAAATCTAAAAATCTTGAATTAATAAATGCTTCAAAAAAAGACTTGAAGCTATAAATAATTTGCAAAATATTATCCATGTATAATCAATATGCATTGGCAGTATTTTGAGACAGAGTTTGAGAATGCATTCAACCACACTGTGAAATCACAAATTTTTGTGGAGGTTTAATTTTTGTTTTTTTTTCAATGTATAAAGAGATCCATGAATTCATGTCCACCACAAAATGTAAACTACATGTATGTTACATTTCTCAAGAATTCTTCAACCACGAAATCAAATTCCCATGAACCATGAGTTTTTCCTCAAAACACAAAAACTGACCCCACTAAATATGCGATTTTACAGTATTTGTTTTTGTTTTAAATTAATAAACATTTTAGATTTACTTTTCTTAGTTCATCTGAGATCTGGAATTCTCCACAGAACTCATCAAAACATTTGCTGATGTGTCCTGACTCCCTCACTACACCTTTGTCTGTGAGTCTGTCAAAGAGAGTCATGGACAGGACAGAGCATGGTACAACCTCAGCCGTCACACTTGTAGCCGGAATTCCTAAGAGAAATTTAAGAAATTGTTTTATATAATCATAACTCCTATTGTAGCAAAACATTTCGACTTACTAAATGAATATACATTGAATATCAGTTGTTGAAAATTACAAATTAATATTCTTCTGTACTTGAGAAGATTTGAGATTTTCTTTTAAATTTTTTGGTAAAGCTTTGACCCCCATTTTGTTGTCTGTTGTTCTGACTTCCAAAATATCCAATTTAAAAAAAAACAACAAGCTTTTATATTTGGTAGCTTATTGATTATGTTTTGTTATTCCGCCAGAGAAATTTGAAATGTATTTACCAACAACTGTCCACTTGTCCCCAGATATCATGCGTAAATTGGAAATTACTTTTGGATCCTTCATGAAGTCCTAAAAAAATATATTTCATTGTAACTATAAGTACATGTCTGCATGCATCAGTATAAACATATCTTTAGCTGTTTATTTGAAACTCTTAAAATTTTCAAAAATTATTCAAAGCATTTACTTAGTATAAATGCAATATCATGCTGTCAGAAAGAGTAAAGGTGGTTTTAATTTGCATTTAAATTTGAAAGAAGTGTTGAAGAGTTAGTTAGAAATTATCCCATAGAGTTGCAATGTATCAAAATGAAGCAGAATCTGCTAAGCCAATTACTGTAAACCAACTCTTATTCGTGACGAATTTATTTTGCGATTTACTGGGGAAGATTAGTTCGGGAAGATTAATTTTTTCAAGATCAAGCCTTTTCTTGATCTGTTTTTGATAGAAACAGAGACTTTAATGACCTGTTTGAAGTGAGAAATATTTGTGATGAAGAGGCTCTCGCGAACCTCGCAAAAATTTCTCACACATGAATAAAAGTTGGTTTACAGTAAATAAAAAGTATAATTGTCTATAACTGTTTACTAAAACATTATTATGATATCAATATCATTTCATTACCTTTACAAAGTCATCCTTTTGATAAGATTGAAATGGTTGGTCAAAACTGAACATCTGTGCACAAATCCTTCCTTTCATTGACCTACAAAAGATTCTAGCTCAGTAAGCTCATAGTAAGCTGCAGATCTGTTGCTTTCTGCTTAGCTGCAATAATGTAGCCCTCTCCGATTTTTTTATCTGATGTTTTCTGGAGAGGCTCCCCCCCCCCCCCCCCCCCAAAAAAAAAGGGGGGAGAGAGGGTTACATTATTGCAGCTACTTTCTGCTGAAAAAATAATTCGGAGAGATAAACTAGAGAAATTTTTGTCTATTCTAATTTTTTCAACCAGAGAGTTACAGTTCTACAGCTAGCTCATAGTTAATGTAAAAATTCCATTAATGCAGATATGCAATGCGCCATCAGGATGGAACGCACCGGTCAGACGACCGAGTAGCATCACACATAGCGTCTCTAGCAACGTGGAACAAAGCTTTACTTACCATTTCATCAATAATTCCTTATTCTCCTTGCTTTCAAGAGAAGGGAATTTTCTTCCATCTAAATACTGAAACGTAAATTTTGGTTCATTATCTCCAGACATATTAATTTTTGAAATATTTTCTCGTTTTGGCGTGTCTAAAACATGTAAATCAATTTAATGCTTGAAAGTTGTCGTAGTCTCAATAGCGTTTGAAGATTTTTGCCAACGCGTACCTTAAATGTTTCGATATCACTTCATTGGAAAGAAAATTTAACCTTCTCTTCATTACTTTCTAGTTTTTTAGCTCTACTGGTCAGAGACCAGAAGAGCTTATGCGAAAGTAATGCGTCCGTCGTCCGTCCGTCTGTCTGTCTGTCTGTCTGTCCGTCTGTAAACAATTTTTCAAAATGCTACTCCTCCTACAGTTTTGGTCTGATTTCAAGATAACTTGGCACACAAGTAGACTACACTAAGATATATAATTCTGTGTATCGGTTTTTGATTTCGATGAACGGTGTTGCCGTTGTTACTAAAAATAGAAGTTTTTGTGAAAATCATTCAAAATGCTACTCCTCCTAAGTTTTGGTCTGATGTAAATATAACTTGGCACACAAGTAGACTACACTAAGATACATAATTCTGTGTATCGGTTTTTGATTTCGATGAACGGTGTTGCAGTTGTTACTAAAAAAAGAATTTTTTGTGAAAAACATTCAAAATGCTACTCCTCCTACAGTTCTGGTCTGATTTCAATATAACTTTGCACACAAGTAGACTACATAATTTCTGTATATAGGTTTTTGTTTCAATGAACGGTGTTGTTGTTGTTACTTAAAAAAGAAATTTCTTTGAAATACCATTAAAATGCTACTCCTCCTACAGTTTTGGTCATATTTCAATATAACTTGGTACACAAGTAGACTACACTAAGATACATAATTCTGTGTATCGGTTTTTGTAATTATTCTATTTATTGCTTTTGTAAAGTTTTATATCCCAACTGCTACTTTTCTCTTTCTTTATTATAAGTACAAACCAGTAGAGCTTCAGTCTCGACAGAGACTTCTGGTTTTAAGTTAAACTGTATGTTTATGAAATTATACAAAATCACATTTAAAAACTTACTCATTTCAAGAAATGTTCATTTTTTATTACATTTTTAAAGGACATAGGTATGAAACTGATGTGCAATCTAAGACTGCTCTTGAAAAGTTTGACTTCAAATATTCATTTTCAAATGTTTTAAAATATGGAGTATGTTGCTCATTTAATGCTTTGATCAGGAGAACCGTATACACTGTAAAAATAGTCAAAAAGTTAATGTTTATCTAATCAGATATGAATACTTAAAAAAAATCAAAGGAACTTAAAATGAATAAAATTGGATTAATAAAAAAATAGCAAAACGTATGACTTTTCAACACTTTATGCAACAGATCCCGGTTTAAATTCAAGTCCATGCTTTCGACATCATAGAAAGCTTTTTCTTTTAAAAAATTGAACTTGTAAATTTACTTATTTTGTCGACGCATATGCAAATCATTTTGTACATACACGTTTATAAAAGACCCTAAAGTTGGTATTAAACGATGTTTGAGTTTTTCATCGACAATATATGTGTAGTTTTTGCAGTTAAGGTCATCAACAATCTGTTGGAATTCCCATGGGTACTTACTGCGCCCCGTTATTCACAGGAGATATTTTTGTTTTAGTATATTCATATTTTTATGATTTAAAAAAAAATCTACGTTATGACAATTAAGTTTTTGCTGTGGCATTCAATACACTATTTAAATATGGTGACGAAGTTTTATTAATTTACAATAATATATTCATTTTCATTTATAGGATGATTTCATTTATATCCCTTTTAACTAAAATAGACACCACAAAGTCTAACACATTTGTTTCATATCTGAATACTTTACTATGGAAAAGTTACTAGTATTTGTTACCTGACGACAGAACTTGGTGATAATCGGGATGACTTCAACTTTTCTATCAACAATTTCACTTATTTATGCAACAATATACCATTAAAACCTGCTCTTGGAATTATGTCTACCAGTCGATTCGATTTTCTATATATGAAAAATTTCTTAAAGGGTACAAGCTATTGACAAACAAATTGATGAAACAAAGGTATCAAAAGTTTTGTTTAAAAAGTCGACATTTCGCAAATTCTAAGGTCGATACCACGAACTTGCATCAAATCCAGCCTATCGTTATGTTTGCCCGATCATAACACGTGTACCGACAGGAGATGCTTACTTCCCCGTGATACCTGATCCCAACTCTGTTTTTAGAGTTCCATGTTTGCTCTGCTCCCAATCTGTATTGCTTCCATAGACGTTTGAGCTTAAATACTGTATTATTCGTCATATCTTCGTAGTTCATCTTATGTGTACATGCGGATACATGTAGCTGAGGGTTCTCAAGGTGACGGAAGTCATTTTGAATTAATTTTTAATTAACCATAACCAGGTACTTTTAGATTACATCTGGTAATCATCATCGACTTAGTAAAATAGGAGTGCATCTTTGTTTGCTATATTTAACTTAAGGTTTAATTTTTCGGGAACCAGTGAGCAATTGACAACATACGAAAGCCTATTAGGATCAATCTAAAGAAAAAAAAATTAAAAGGCGTTATAACGCCTTTCAAAAAGGCGTAATAACGCGAAAAAAGGCGTTATAACGCCTTATGAAAAGGCGTTATTACGCCTTTCTGTTCCAAAAGGCGTTATTACGCCTTTCCAATCAAAAAGGCGTTATTACGCCTTTGTAAAAGGCATTATAACGCCTTTCGAAAAGGCGTAATAACGCCTTTTGGAAAGGCGTAATAACGCCTTTCGAAAAGGCGTAATAACGAGTTTTGGAAAGGCGTAATAACGAGTTTTGGAAAGGCGTAATAACGCCTTTTGAAAAGGCATAATAACGAGTTTTGGAAAGGCGTAATTACGAGTTTTGGAAAGGCGTAATAATGCCTTTTAGAAAGGCGTAATAACGAGTTTTGGAAAGGCGTAATAACGCCTTTTGGAAAGGCGTAATAACGAGTTTTGGAAAGGCGTTATAATGCCTTTTAGAAAGGCGTAATAACGCCTTTTTGATTGGAAAGGCGTAATAACGCCTTTTGGAAAGGCGTGATAACGAGTTTTGGAAAGGCGTAATAACGCCTTTTGGAAAGGCGTAATAACGAGTTTTGGAAAGGCGTTATAATGCCTTTTAGAAGGGCGTAATAACGCCTTTTTGATTGGAAAGGCGTAATAACGCCTTTTGGAACAGAAAGGCGTAATAACGTCTTTTCATAAGGCGTTATAACGCCTTTTTTCGCATTATTACGCCTTTTTGAAAGGCGTTATCACGCCTTTTATTTTTTTTTTCTTTAGATTGATCCTAATAGGCTTTCGTAACAACAAACTCATTGAGAAGGAATCATTTGTACATGTCAGGTATAATCGCAGTAAAATTTATTATTTAAAAAAAAAGTCGTTCGAAGAAATGAATTCTGCAAAAGTTATGCCAGATGTTTGTTTTCCCTCGATCAGGCAACCAGATTCACACCGGTTGCTGCTTTAGGTCTTTTTATGAGTCTTTTTCATGTCTTCATTCAAGGCCACTTCTTTTGACGCCAATAAGACCATGTACAGTAGAGTCAAATTTCGTACATATACCGACCATTGAAGTGAAATATTACGTAGTATACCCTAAAAGGTTTTCAAAGAACAACTATGGCACACATTGTTACTTAGATGTTGAAACTGCCGTGTTAAAATTTTGAACTTATATACTCACTATATAAGACACAGGAAAGCACCATCGTGTAGTGTAACTGGAATTTTGTACTAGCGAGGCCAAGAGACCAAAAATTTGGTTTATGTCGTCCATGGAAGTTGGAATATTTATTTCTTATTCACTAATTTTCCTGGAATGGACAAATCGCACAATCAACAGATAGGACAGCTTCCTCGGAGTACATGAACCAGTCCTAACTCAAGGAATATATGACTAAAACTTAATTAAGTCTATTATAAAACCTCTTTTCCGTCAATGTTTCATCGCATAAGTAGTTTTACAAGAAATAAATGAAAATGAACACTATTTTTCATGACATATTTAAGGAATAATTGTCTTTCTTTTTCGATTTCATGACGTGATCAATCGATTGGCTAAATTTATCACGCAAGCCAATCGATTGATCATCGTCATAAAATTGAAAAATCTGACAGTTATATATTTACATGCTTTGATTCCGCCAATCCACGTGCTCCAAGCCCTGCTTCTGTCTAGCTGTTTGTCCCGCCCTGCACGTTTTTTTTTTTTTTGGAACCGTGCCCATTCATTTATTGCAAAGTAAAGTACATTTAAAATTTGTAATTTTATCTCGGACAAAGACATTGGAAATGTAAATATATATATGAATTCAGAACGTATGGTTAATTTATTTGAAAAGAAATAATCATAAATATACGATAACAATGCAACTTCGAAAACTCATGAAAGGCGCTAAAAAGAAAATAAATTGCGCCTGATTTATGGATCTCTCCTCTCTTACATCTAACTTAGTTTCTAAGGTGTCCCAAGCTGCATAGGAACAAAAACAACGACTTCATCTTCTTTGCTTTATTTTCGGGATTGTCCGTGAACACGGCGTTTCAGCTGAGGAATGGCTTGCTGAAAAGGTCTGGGAACCACAAATTGTCCAGCGTCATGTCTCGCAGGAAATGGACGAACATGTTGCTCATGCGCAACCGGTCCTTGTTGGAAACCACTGAATTCCGGCCTTTTTGTGGGAAATCTAATTTCTTCATGCTCTTCATGTCCCTGGAACTCAGGTCTTTTGGTGGGGATCCTGAATGGCTTTGGAACTCTAGGTTCTCCGCTGTCGTAATATATTTTCCGAGGTACGGGAGCACCTTGTGGAGATGGTGACTGGTCGATGTGGTGGTCGATGTCTGTAGGTTTAACTTCGTATATTTTACTTGTTCTGCAGAGCTTGCCAACAATTGGACCAACTCGGTTAATGAACTGACTGAGTAAGTCCTCATTCCTCATTATTTTGGGGGTCTGATTAAAAGAAAATACGACATTTCAGCAAAGATATGCAAATATTTGGGACTATAATGCAAATATTTGGGACTATAACTCAAAATTTAAAAATAAAAATACTAACTAGAGACTTATTCGTTATAATTTTTAACAATACCCGTTTTATCGGGATAATTATATCGTTATAACGAGTAAGTATTTTTGTCATCATTTAGCTATCCGACTTTTATCCCTGCTTTAAGCATTATAAAAAGAATCGTCAAAAAATACGAGACTTACCACAGCCGACATGACGGCAATTTTACTGTCCTGGTCCAGCCGCCATTCCGGATCGTAGTCTGTGATGTAACAGGACCGGAAGTCTACATCTCGAATGACTGTTATTCCCTGAAAATAGGATAAAATCGAAGTATTAGTTTAAAAAGTCATCAAATCGCTTAATGCTTAAAAGGGGACGGCTTTCAAAATGGTGTACAATACCAATAGCATACATAATTAGGAAACATTAAAGCATGAAATTCGTAACTCTTAAAATAACTCATAAATCAGAGAAAATATAGAGTAAAGGACCGTCATTGAGACAAAAGTCAAAACTTAATTTAATGACCTAAGGGGTCAAGGTCATAAATTATTTTACATCATCGATTGATCATGAATGTTAAAAGTCTAGAAGAATAAAAGTCCTGACATGCCTCTAGATCTGCTTAAGATATACAGCAACATTTCTTTTCTGACTAGTAAGTTAAATTTAAAGTAATATATGTACAACACGTGATCAGTCGATTTTGCCGATAAACGAATTATTATATGTGTTGATAGAGATGCAGATTAAGGTTAATAAACTTTCTGCTCACTCATATAAAATGTTGCTCGAATCTTAATGATTTTCCAAAAGAAATGTATTTCATAAGTAAAATACAAACAATTATAGCATGGCTTGCGAGGCAAAATTTAAGAGAGAGAGAGAGAGAGAGAGAGAGAGAGAGAGAGAGAGAGAGAGAGAGAGAGAGAGAGAGAGAGAGGAGAGAGAGAGAGGGGGGGGGGGGGGGGGGGGGGGGGGGGGGGGGGGGGGGGGGGGGGGGGGGGGGGGGGGGGGGGGGGGGGGGGGGGGGGGGGGGGGGGGGGGGGGAGAGAGAGAGAGAGAGAGAGAGAGAGGGGGGGGGGGGGGGAGAGAGAGAGAGAGAGAGAGAGAGAGAGAGAGAGAGAGAGAGAGAGAGAGAGAGAGAGAGAGAGAGAGAGAGAGAGAGAGAGAGAGAGAGAGAGAGAGAGAGAGAGAGAGAGAGAGAGAGAGAGAGAGAGAGAGAGAGAGAGAGAGAGAGAGAGAGAGAGAGAGAGAGAGAGAGAGAGAGAGAGAGAGAGAGAGAGAGAGAGAGAGAGAGAGAGAGAGAGAGAGAGAGAGAGAGAGAGAGAGAGAGAGAGAGAGAGAGAGAGACAAAAAGGACACTTCAAATTGGAAAATCTATATGGAATAATAGACATTTATGCCACTAAGAGTTATCTCTCTTATCAGAGTATCAATGACCCTTAATTGCCCCCGAGTAAAAAGATGATTATAAGTCACATATCTGTAAATATATATTATGTGTTTGAATTAATACTGAGTTTAAGATGCTTATGAATTAAGGTATTAAGTCCAGCCTATTATAACAGATAAAAACTTATTATAAATAGTTTCCCTTACTCATTTTAGAGTGTATATCTCAGTCCGAAAAGGTAAACATAAAAATAGAATGAACTCTGAAACCAAAATCAAAATTAAGCACTATCATTTAAGATTAATTTACCGTAAATGAATCCTTGTTAATATTTTAATTATATGCATTTTATTACAACTTTTAATTCAATTTCACTCTAGCTGGAGACCGATAAATTGTTCTCCTTATAAACCTTTATTTATTTTTAATCTGGAAGCGGTCAGAATGACCTCTAAGCATCATCAAAGTAGGTGAGATATGCGAAATATTCTATCAGTAGGTACAATAGAATTCAGCTGTAAGCGGACGGTTGTCTTGGAATCTGTTTATCATATGGAACAAATAATCCCGTATCCAGGAACTCTTTCTTACTCCTCAGAATGGATTGTCATATATGAGCTTCATGGGTTATCAGTTTGGTTTCCGACAATTGTAATTAAGTACGGTTTGATGAAATTATGTCATTAGAATAGTGCCGCTCCCAAAAATTTCTACCGGTCTTGTTACGCAATAAATATTCACGATCGGTGCACCAATCATCTTCATCTTTGGTCAAGAATTTTCTGTACGCTAAAGGTTTCAAAAAGCTTTAAAATACATGCATTTGAATCTCTAAACGCCGTTTTTGCCCAGGTGCGTATTTCAGGTCGATTGTTATGTTCATTGTCATAAAAAACTGCAGTATACTAAAAATTCCTAGAGAAGCGAAAGCGACGTTACTACCTGTCTAGGGGGGGGGGGGGGGTGTTACAATCATTAAGTAGTTAACTTTTCTTTAGTCTTTGATATAATGAGAAAGGGGGTGCCTCTGCAGTTCTTACGAAAACCAATACTTTGGCAATGTTTTCAACCTTGCAAAAGCTTGTCTTGTGTTTTTAAAATTCACTGTTTAATCCGATACATTTGTATATGAATTCCGCATCATTTTTTGCAACTTCATCTCTGAATGAGGGAAAATATTTTCAGTAAATTTTAAAGAAAACTTTGCACAAATCCAATAATTCTTACAAGAAATTTGTTACTAAAAGTATAATGCGTACTCCAAGTGGATTACGCGACACTGTCCGTTTTTATATTATCCTTTTATTAATACAGTATATAATACACCTACATTATCTCTGTCGTTGTAATGTAAATCTGTATTCCTCTCAATAGCATCAAAGACAGACTGGGGCTCTGATGAAATGGGAAACGGTCTGAAATACCGGCCCTCACAATACTGAAATAAAAAAAAAAAAAAAAAAAAAGATAAATTCATTACTAACATTATATACATTCTTCAAAAATAAAAAACGTAATTTGTATTTTGAAAAAAGGAGAAAAAATATCCAAACACGGTCCAATTATTGAAGAAAATAATTTAATCGAATTTTTGATGACCAAAATCTCGTGCAATTTTGTAAAAGTCTCTAAAACACTGCAACTGGCCGAATTAATAATACTGGGAATTATTTCGAATAATTTGCCAAATAAAGGAGAATTATTGACAATTTTAATCCCCAATATCTCCCATGTCTGACTCCTCACTTCCTAAATTTAAGTTTTGCTTTGAATTAATATTAAATATAAAATATTGACCACTTTAGCTTTTAATGTTACTAGTTACTTTTTGAAGCTATTTTTTTCCTGTCAAGGACTAGGAAACGTCAATTTTGTCCAAATCAAAATAAGAAAATTTAGTAGCAAAAGTCGGGGAACTTTTTGAGATTATTATTTCTTTCTTCAATTTCTTCTATTAGGTTAGATTCATAAATTTTGTATTAATATATTTAACAGAAAAATTACACCACTTTGTTCACTTAAATCTTACCAATAAAGCTCCGACAAATGTCACAATGTACAAGAAATCCATTGTCTTGCTTCAACTTATTTGAAATTTTTGCTTAGTTCTACTTTGCTAGTTTATTTATAATCCCTAACCTTTTGTTCCATCCAATCGCGATTCAGGGTTTGTCTTGGGGGGGTGATAACAATACCCTAAGTGTTTGTTAAGCCTTGAATTCATAAAGCCAAAATAAACATACACGTGATTAAGAGGGAGTACTCAGTTATTCACTGTAGACTTCTAAATTAAGAAATTGTTAATTGCTTTTTATTTAGAAGCTAAAGATTAATTGGTACGGACTTGGCTAGTGATTTGTATACAACTGACTGGTCTTCTGTAATAAGAAAATGATTTGCGATTCCGGGTATAAAAGAGTAGAGTCAAACTGCATTAAACAGTTTAAAACAACCTCAAAGTCTGGAATTGATAGGAACAGATTTATGTCCTTGTATCAACCACTAAATAAAAAACAACGTCGGTCCTGGTATTAATGAAAAACCCTCGCAATAATACAAGTCTCATAAATTTTAGGAAACGATTCGCTTTAACCATACCTTACCACAGAGGTTACAATGATATTGGTATCGGTTGAAGAGATAAATGGTATAGGAGATAGAGTTTGAAAGATTTCACAATTTGTTGCCAGATCATTCGACTATCAGCAGGAGCCATTTTCTCGTATCACTGAAAACAAAAAGCTTTTCTAGACCCCCGAGAGATTTATCACTGACCCTAACGATACTTGACAGTCATTATTTTGTCAATATCTGAAATGACCCGCCTCCTTTCAATCGTCCTATCATCTCCCGGGTTGTTTACTGTATTTGTCACCCCTCCATTCAACTCAGCACCTCCCAGTAATAAACTCAATAAACAAGCTATATTTAAAATTGTATGAATCACCAATAAACACCCGGGGTACTAGTATATACTAACACCAAAATAAAAATTGATTCAGATTTCAAGTTGAATTGCCGTACCCAGTTTTTCTTGTAAGACTTAAACATTGGTCTACGCGTCTCTCTTGTTCTCTGTGAACAAAAAAGAAAACACTATAGCAGTACAAATGCACGTCATGTTTGTGTGCTCCTGTATGACAGCTTAGCAACATATAGAGTAGGTTACTCTTTCTAAAATGCAAGTCAAACTCCAAGTCAAGAAATCAAAACTGTTAGAACCCGAGGAAACAACACATCTCGAGGAATATACCTCTGAAATGCGAAAGCCCTATCATTAACCGTTGAATCAAAATTAATGATGCCCAGAGATGGGTCTTATGAAATATGAAAGCCAAAGGACCAATCCTTCGAATAAAGGTTATGGCTAAGATTATATAGTTTTTCAGGAAGGTCAAACTTTAAGATCAAAGTTGTTGGTATCCAAAGGAAAGTCTTGTTACAAGGAATACATACGTGAAGTATTATAGTCCCAGCACCAACTGTTCAAAACTTATCAGTTTGCCCAATATTAAAGTTTTTCAGAAGTAGGTCAGACTTCAAGGTCAAGGTGTCAAAATTGTTGATATCTTAAAGGAAGGTCTTATTACAAGGAATACTCAGTACACATGTGAAGTAAAGCCTTAGCACCAACTGTTGAAAATGTATGACCGGGACAGAAGTGAGGCAAAATTTTACAAAACTGGATCAAAGTTCAAGGTCAAGGTAAAAAAGTCAAATATGATGGTACCCAAAGAAAATCTTGTCCCAAGGATCGTACACATAAAGTATGATAAGTATGAAAGCCCAAGCGCCAACTTTTCAAAAGTTATGGCCGATGTTAAAGCTTTGAAATAGCAGGTCAATCTCCATGGATAGTCAAAGGGTAAAAATTTACAGTAATAGGTCAAACTTAAAGGTCAAAGTCAAAATTATTGGTATCCAAAAGAAAGGTCTTAACACAAAAGAATACACATGTGAAGTTTGAAAGCCCTAGCACTAACTGTGAAAAAGGTATAACCAAGGTAAAAGTTTGGTAAAAAATTTGCAACACTGGGTCAAATTCAAGGCCAAGGTCAAATAGTAGAATATGACGCTACCCAAAGAAAGATTTTGCTCCAAGGAATACATGTACTTATATGAAGTATGAAAGACCAAATTCCAAGGCCAAAGTCAAAATTAAAGTCAAAATTGATGGTACCCAAAGAAAGATCTTGTCCCATGTAATGTACATATGTGAAGTATGAAAGCCCCAGCACCATATTTTCAAAAGTTATGACCGATGTTAACGTTTTTGAATATCGTAGTAGTAGGTCAAACTCCATGCAAAGTCAAAGGAACAAAGTTGTTGGTATCCAAACAAAGGTCTTGTCACAAGGGATGCACATGTGAAGAAGGAAATCCCTACTGTAGGACCAACTGTTAAAAGGTTTGGCCAAGGTTAAAGTTTGGTAAAATTTTACAAAACTTGGTCAAACGCCAAGGTCAAGATCAAAAGGTCAAATATGATAGTACCCAAAGAAAGATCTTGTCCCAAGGAATACACACGTGAAATATAAATGCCATATATCCAACCAATCAAAAGTTATGAGCAAGGTTGGTTTTTTTAATAGAAAGAAAAAAGCCTTTTCTCGACCTCATGAGTCATAAGTAATGCAAATTGGGACCAGGCTGAAGCTAGCAGCCAATAACAGCAGCCACTAAGCCCGTAGAAGCTAGCAGCCAATAAGGAAATTCTCATCAAAGAACTGAGAGTACTGAGAGGCAGTACTGTTTTTAATACTTTATTTTAGACAAATAAGGGTTAATGATTGGATAATTAATGCGAAAATTAATTATATAATAAATCAGACACTCGGAGGCAGTAAGGCTCACCTGAAAAAAAAGTTCTTTTTTGAAACTGAAAAAATAGAAATAAATTAACCAATCATCTTAGTCCACTTCATCAAACAAGCACTAAGACAGTCATGTTTAACTACTTCAAGAAGAATGCCTTTTCAACTCTTTCAGGGACCTCAAGAATATGACAGGGCCAATAAGCTAACCTGAAAATTGGTTACTCTATCGATTGTAAACTGAAAAATTACACAAGTGTAAACTGCGTTGAAGTATGTTTCGAACATTATAATCCGGGCAACTTTAAGGGTCTATAAGACTATTAATAACCGTTATCAGTAATAAGTGGTGATGGTGCCACCAAGTGGTTCCAAGAGCATTTTTAATATAAGACGCAGGTATTATACCCATGATTTATAAAGTGCCCACCATATCGTAACTAGGGCAAGGTAGAAGGGCCCTAGGACTTTTGTTTCCTGCTATAAGAACGGGTTTGTAGTGGTACCACCAGGTGGTGCCAAGTGCGTAGAGTATATTTCAAGCAATCAATTGTCATCAATTATTGGCCACTTGAACAAACTATCACTGGGGATGGATTAAGGGCCTTAGGAAGTATCCCTTGTCAACCTTTCAAAGGGTCCTAGGGACCACAAAGGGCTAGTAGGCAAACCTGGACGTTGGCTTTTACATTATATCCCGAAAAAAAACCCATTAGAGAACAGCTATTCTTGGAAGTGTCAACCAATGATTATTGGGGCAAGGTAGAGGGCTTTTACGGATATCATTTCCCACTTTCAAAATGGGGCTGTAGTGGTACCACCAAGTGGTGCCAAGTGGCTGGGGCATATTTCAAGCATTCATTTGCCATGTATTATTGTGCACCTGGACAAACTATCACTAGAATGGGTTCAGGATCTTAGGGGGGATATCCTTTGACAGAGTTCTGTAGAGTCCCAGGGTCTGGAAAGGGCCAGCAAGCTTACCTGAACTTTGCTGTTTTTTTTATAATTGCATATTGAAAACAGAAAAAAGTCATATATTATACCCCTTATCTTTCAAGTGTTCACCAAATGATTATTGGGGCAAGGTAGAGGGGTCCTAGGGCTATCATTTCCCACCTTCAAAATGGGGCTGTAGTGGCACCACTTGGTGGTGCCAAGTGGCTGGGGCATATTTCAAGCATTCATTTGTCCTCCATTTCTGGGAACCTGAACCATCTTTCACTGGGGATGGGTTAAGGGTCTTAGGGGGTATCCCCTGACAAAGTTTCAAAAAGTCCCAGGGGCTGGGTAGGGTCGGTTAGCTAACCTGATCTTTGATATTTTTCATCATTGTATATTGTGAAACGGGAAAAGGTCAGCTATTATACGCCTTATCTTTGAAGTGTTCACCAAATGATTATTGGGACAAGGTAGAGCGGTCCGAGGGCTATCATTTCCCACCTTCAAAATGGGGCTGTAGTGGCACCACTTGGTGGTGCCAAGTGCGTGGGGCATATTTCAAGCATTCATTTGTCCCCCATTTCTGGGAACCTGAACCATCTTTCACTGGGGATGGGTTAAGGGTCTTTGGGGGTATCTCCTGTCAAAGTTTCAAAGGGTCCCAGGGGCTGGGAAAGGCCGGTCAGCTAACCTGAACTTTGATGTTTTTTCATCATTGTATATTGTGAAACGGGAAAAGGTCAGCTATTATACGCCTTATCTTTGAAGTGTTCACCAAATGATTATTGGGACAAGGTAGAGCGGTCCGAGGGCTATCATTTCCCACCTTCAAAATGGGGCTGTAGTGGCACCACTTGGTGGTGCCAAGTGCGTGGGGCATATTTCAAGCATTCATTTGTCCCCCATTTCTGGGAACCTGAACCATCTTTCACTGGGGATGGGTTAAGGGTCTTTGGGGGTATCTCCTGTCAAAGTTTCAAAGGGTCCCAGGGGCTGGGAAAGGCCGGTCAGCTAACCTGAACTTTGATGTTTTTTCATCATTGCATATTGTGAAACGGGAAAAGGTCAGCTATTATACGCCTTATCTTTGAAGTGTTCACCAAATGATTATTGGGACAAGGTAGAGGGGTCCTAGGGCTATCATTTCCCACCTTCAAAATGGGGCTGTAGTGGCACCACTTGGTGTTGCCAAGTGGCTGGGGCATATTTCAAGCATTCATTTGTCCTCCATTTCTGGGAACCTGAACCATCTTTCACTGGGGATGGGTAAAGGGTCTTAGGGGGTATCCCCTGACAAAGTTTCAAAAAGTCCCAG